TTTAAAAGGATTTTATTGAATTAAGGTTTCTACGAGCTTTTACTATCTTATTGCATTACTCTGATTTTATACTGCCTCGTTGTTGCATTTTGCTGTGTTTTACGTGTTTTCTTATCACTCAGCTACCTTTACTTTTATTACTTACTGAGTTGGCATACTCATATTACTCCCTGCACTATGTGCCGATCCAGGAGTCTCGGGTCATGCTAGCTAGGGTTGATTGCTTCCAGCAGGCTATTCGGAGTTCACTAGGTAGCTGTTCGGCGTTCGCAGCCTAGTGCTTCTCCCTCCTGTCCTTACTTTCCTTTGTACTAGCTCTGTAATAAACTGTGTAGTCCTTTTTCAAATTCTTAGATGGATGTTAGATGCTCATGACTGGTGGTACCCCGATGTCGGGCTGTGTTGTTTCTGCAATTGTTTCTATTTCACTCTTTATTTTGGGATTATAGCATATTAATGACTTAAATTGAATTAATATAACTGTTTAACTGATATTGGGGGTTTGTGTCGGCTGGCCTTGTTTCACAATAGGCGCCATCACGATCGGGTTCGGTTTAGGGTCGTGACAAGTTGGTATTATAGCCTAGGTTACATAGGTCTCACGAGTCATGAGCAGGTTTAGTAGAGTCTCACGGATCGGTACAGAGACGTCTGTATTTATCCTCGGGAGGTTGTACAACCTTTAGAAAAAACTTCATATTCTTTAAATTCTTGTCATGTGAATTTGTTTATCTGAGTTCTAAACTTCTGTTATTCCATTCCCTCATAGATGGTGACACGTGCTACCGGTCAGGATGGACGACCACCAGTACCACCAGTTGGGGCTACTAGAAGCCGAGGACGCGGTCAAGGCCGTGGTAGGGGAAGGGGTGTAGCCCGCACAACAGCTAGGGCAGCACTTGCAGATCCACTAGCCGCCCCATTTCAGGATCAGGTCCCAGTTGTGGATGCTCCAGCAGCACCAGCTCAGGCACCAACTGTGCCCATTATGATTCCAGGTCTTCAGGAGGCCCTGGCTCAGATTCTATTAGTATGCATTGGCCTAGCTCAGGAGGTCTCAGTTACTACAGCCGCAACTACTTCTCAGGCCGGGGGAGACACTCAGACTCCTGTCGCTCGCACACCTGAGTAGATCGTGCAGGGACTTCAGACATCGAGGGCACCTCCAGCCCAACTGATTGCAGCTGCTCAGGACTATGTAGCTCCTGCTATGCCAGAGGACGAGCATCGCAGGTTGGAGAGCTTTGGTAGACTTTAGCCTCTGACTTTCAGTGGTGCAGAGGGCGAGGATGCCCAGGGTTTCTTAGACAAGTGTTAGAGTATTCTTCGTATAGTGGGTATTCTGGAGACCAGCGAGGTCGCTTTCACTACTTTTCAGTTTTCTGGAGCTGCCTTCACTTCGTGGGAGGCTTATGAGAGGCGTAGGCCTGTTGGTGCAGCACCCCTTACCTGGCAGTAGTTTTCCATTCTCTTTTTGGAAAAGTATATGCCAGAGTCTCACAGAAAGGAGCTGCGCAGGCAGTTTGAGTGGTTGCGTCAAGGAGATATGACTGTGACGTAGTATGAGATGAGGTTCTCGGAGTTATCTCGTCATGCTGTTTGGTTGGTTCCTATGGATAGAGACTTTCTGTATGTGCTTTTACTATTTTATGACTTGTGAGGATGGTTGGTTTGGTTTTGAAAGGGTTCGGAGTTGAATTCGAAACACTTAGTTCCTTAATAATGGCCTAAGGTGGTCAAGTTTCAATTGAGTCAACATTTTGAGTAAACAATTTTGGAACCGATGATTTGATGGTTCCAATAGGTTCATATGATAATTTTGGACTTGGGCGTGTGTTCGGATTGAATTTGGGATGATTCGGGAGCGTTTCGGCGCTTAATGTTGGAAGTTGGTGCCTTAGGGTTTTAAAGTTTCTTAAATTTTATTTGAAGAATACTTTGGTGTTATCGATGCTCGTTTTTGATTCCGAGCTTGAAAATAAGTTTGTATGGAGATTTGTAACTTCTATGTAAAATCGACGTCATTCTGAGTTGTCTAAGTATGATTCGTTGTGTTCAGAGCTAGTTGAAGAAGTTTGAAGTTCATAAGTTAATTAATTTGGTTTTAGGGTGCGATTCTCAATTCCGATTTTATGTGTTCCGAGGCTTCGAGCATGTCCGTATTAAATTTATGAAATTGTTGGTACATTTGGACAGGGTCCCGGGTGGCTCGAGTGAGTTTCGGACCACCCAGAACTAAGTTCAAAATTTCTGAAATTTGCTGTTCTTGTTTCCTTATTCGCAAACAGTGAGAAGGCCTTGCGTTCACGATTAAGGAATTGGGGCTGGGGTTTTTTGTTATACGCATTTACAAAAATAGGGTCGCGGTCGCGAAGCTGCTGGACACTAGCCTCCGTATTTGCAATTGCTGGGTCGCGTTCGCGTAGAAGGTCCTGAGTCTGGGGGCTCAGCAAGTGGATGCCCTTCGCGTTCGCGTAGGGTGGGTCACATTCACGATTATTGGAGGGGGCTGGTATTCACGTTCGCATGAAGCTTCTCGCGATCACGAGGAGGCTTTTCAGGGGCCTTGGTAGTTTTGCCTTCGCGATCGCGTGGGCAATTACCATCGCAAAAAATGATCGTTGGTCAGTGACTTAAGTAAAAAACGGGACTTAGGCTCATTTTCTTCATTTCTATCAACTCTTGGCTGATTTTAGAGCTCATTGGAGAGAGGTTTTCACCTAGCATAATGGGTAGTTTTTACATTATGTGAGTTTAATATATAGATTATTGGTAGTTTTTAACATGTAAATTTTGAAAATTTTAGGATTATGTTGAAAAACCTAGGGTTTAATAAAAATGGAATTAGACTACGAAAATGATTATAGAATTGAGTAGAAATTACATATTTGAGTTCGCTAGGTCATGGATAATATTTATTTACAAAAATTTCCGGTTCCAGGTACGTGGGCCTGGGGGTGACTTTTAGGAATTTTTCAAATTGGGTTGGGTAATTACTCTAATAGTTAAATTTGAACTTTCGAGCATATATTGATTAGTTTGTATGAACTTTGGATAGTTTCAGATTGATCAGCACCGATTTGAGGCTATTAATATGATTTGCGGAAAGAGGACTTGAGAACAAGGTAAGTCTCTTACCTAACCTTGTAAGAGGGAATTATCCCCGTAGGTATTTTAAATTGTTATTTGCTAATAATTATGGGTGCTACGTACGTGCAAAGTGACGATAGTCCGTACGTAGCTAAAATCATGCTTATGTTCAGGTAGACTTAGGACTTTACCATGCAATGCTTGTATTATTTGAACCCCAATTGTTAGTTTAATTACTTGAATTTATAATTGAAATTGGATATGGGATTTTATGATACCGAGCTTTATTATCTTGAGTTTTGGCGGAATACTTGATTGTTGGTGGAAATTATGCCTTCCTTGAGTACTATTTCTGTGTTGTAGTCATTGACCGTAGTTTGTAGAGTTTCTCTATTCATGTGGATCGGGCCGAACACCTTAGCAGTATATTTAGATACATCTATGATTTACACCAGTCGACCCTCAGCGGTATACACAAGTATTCTGGATTAGGCCATACGACCTCGACATAATTCGTGCGTGATATTGGTAGAAGCCCGGTTGTACTTGGTATTTCCTTCGTCACTTGAGATTTGATAATTATGGCTCTTATTTGTTAAAAATTGGCATGTGATAATTGGAGAGTTTAAATTGACATACTGTTAAGGGATCATTATTTATTGTTTGTTATTATTGTATTTCATGATGCCTATTTATAATTCCTACACTTTACTTTTTGAACTCTAGTAAATGTCAATGTCGACTACTCGTTACTACTTCTTCGAGGTTAGACTAGATACTTACTGAGTACACGTTGTTTACATACTCATGCTATGCTTCTGCACAAATTGTGCAGGTATTAAGGCAGGTACATCTGGTATCCGATCAGGGGCGCATCCACACTACTTGGAGACTTAACAGTAAGCTGATCCTCCATGCTCCGATTTGCAGCACTCGAAGTCTCCTTCATGTTGCACTTTATTTTATATTTTATCTATTTTATATCACACACTTGTTGTAGTGGTTTGTATATTCTACTAGATTGCTCGTGCACTTGTGACACCGGATTTTGGGAATTTCTAGTAGATACTTATGATTTTTTATCTATTAATATCACTATTTCACTCTTACATTTTATTTTATACATTACATCACCATGGCTATTTATTCTTGATTTTTTTATTAAATAAAATTCATGACTTTAAAAGGAATAAAATGAACATTTAAATGGATAGTTCATTGTTGGTTTGCCTAACGGTAACGTTGGGCGCCATCAAGGCCTACAATGGAAATTGGGTCGTGACATTCTATTATTTGGCTTATGAATGAACTTAATGACGAGCGCAAAATACAATACAAAATTATTGCTCGCTAGTCAAAGATAATATAGTTTAATTATCGTCTCCAAATGGATTAGATTTAAATAGTGTTTGAATAATCTTCAGTTGACTACTATCCAGGAAAACTAACACTTGATTTGATGACTATTACTATGATTAACTATTAAAAATTAAGCAATTAACAATTGATCACAAAAGATAGCATATGAGCAACAAAGAAATATCAATGAGAGAAATAAGTGTATTTGGCTAGATATGTGCAAGATAATTAACTTGGGATTCAATTCTTGAGTTAATTCACTCTATAATACTGTTGATTATCATGAATTCAACAGATGATCAAATTACACTTGAAGTTAAGGTTCCTCTTTCGATTAAAAGTTAATTTCATTAATTAATCCAATTGAAGCACGATAAACAATTGCAAGAATAAAATGTTGGTTATGTTCTAAAGTGTAACTTCTCGCGAATATTTTCCTATTTTCTAGTTTGATTAAGAATTCAAGAGGCTCTTTCGATTAGCTATTTGAATCATGAATTTAAACTAGAATATAAGATGTAAAGAAATTCAATATCAAGCTCCTCTTTCGATTAAGCAAAATAAGAAACAACTCCATAATATGAACTAAAACTACATCAATTAATTCCATCAATTATCAAGAATCGAATCCCTAATCAAGTTATCAAAACACTGTATCTGTCAACACCCTAATGGAATTTACTCCATAGCTATGGAAAAAACCATCTCAATAAGGTTTAAACACAAAGAAAACATCAATGACAATGATTCGATACAAACTCTCATATTGCACCGCTCGTTGGTTGAAATCTTGATGAATTCTTGAGTCCTTTTGCCTTGGTTGGTTCTCCAATCATTCATACGTCAAAAGTACTTCAAAAAATATATTTCTAGTGTATTTATACCATGTAGAAATAAATCCGGACAAAACTACCCTCTATGAGCCGAAATAGGAAAACCTGCAAACCTATTACACTTCATGCGTCACATAGTGCGTCGCAGGCTGCATCGCATCAGTGTACTTTACTCAGTTGCAAACTCTCTGAACTCCGCATGTTTGGCAAAATTTTGCCTTAGTGCATCGCACCATGCATTGCAGTCTGCGTTGCAGCAAATCTTTTTCTTATCAGACCAAAGAAACCCAGTCTCTGAACTTGTCAAACTTCTAACGCATTTTTGCACTAATGCATCACACCATGCTAGGCTTTGTGCGTTGCATTAGTGCATTTGTCCGGACCTTGCAATTTTTTCCCACTTTCGTATCCAACGCCTGTCCAAGAGCCCCGGATGCGATCCTAGTTTAATTCTTTAGATTTTACTCAGACTTCAAAGCTCCGATTTATCCTTTTAACTCGAAATCATTTCCTGCAAGACATAAAACACATCATAAGTGCAAATCACCATTATTTAAGCTCACACACACGTAAAATGCAGTAATTAGGGTGTAAAATACAGCTAAAACATGGTTTTCTAGCCTACCATCAACACCCCACGCTTAGACTATTGCTTGTCCTCGAGCATTCAAACTACACTTCACATAGGGAAGACCTCTTCATTATACAACATTCCTAACACATCATGCCAAGAATATTAAAAATAGACTAAGCACCATATCATAACATCCTAACCTCAAGACTCTACTCAAAAGCACCACATATTTTTCACAACTTGTTCAGTTACTCTAACACAAAGGTCAAAGGCTTTACCTTACCTTTGCAAATCATGTGCCATCACACAAACACTACAGAGTAGTTTCACACACAATAAAATTCAAGAACAAATAGGAACTCAAGATAGAAAGAATTCACTCACTTTAAGAAATAAAATTCATGCGCCACAGAGAATGTATCATAGGCTTGACCGTAGTGTAATACTCTACTAATTGAGCTCATTCAGTCAAGGATCAAGTAGGACTATTTTGGTTGTAATGCAGGCTGAGGAACGGGTAAGATATATATAGATATAGTGGCTACACCTCCCTGAGCACTTTAATATATTTACATTAACAATTCAAATATCACACTTGTGTTGAACCAATTCCCAACCTTCACATCATATTAACACCAAGGTCCCGATTCCCTTAAGCACAGATAAAACAATATTTACCACTAGTATGAAATAAATTTCTTTATAATATATACAAACACCAACATTTCTGTCACGGCGCAAACCGATGGGCCGCCATGGGAATCTGATACCTTACTCAACTGAGTACCAACATAACGTATCTTTTCATGTCATACTATCATAGATAATTGAGCCGGAGAGGCTTCCGTGAAATGGGTAGAATACAACAAGTGATGTCAACTTATACATAAGCAATATGGGCCTCTAAGACCAAAATAATCACTTGAACACTGAACATAGGCTGACAAGGCCATACAATCTTTTACGTACATGACATCTGTCTACAAGCCTATAAGAAAATATAATTTTCATAAAGGTCAGGATAGAGTCCCACCATACCAAATAATACACATCTAACTCATACTAACCAGAAAAGCAACTCCGAAACAAATGGAGCGCACCAACATCTTCCTCTGAGCTGATAGCCTACATGGAGGGCTCCCAAACTGTCTATCAGGACCTGCAGTCATGAAACGCAGCATCCCCAGGCAAAAGGGACATCAGTACGAATAATGTACTGGATATGTAAGGCATATAAGTACATAACATACATGGAGGAAATATAGAGTAAATGACTCCACCTATATGTTTGAATAACTTTGTAAATCATGAAATTATTATAGTATCATGCATATGCATATGAATGTCATGTCGTGCATAGGTATATGTTTCATAACATCATCAGCCTCTGAGGGCATCCCATCATATCATCTTGGCCATTGTGGGCAAAATCATCAATGTATACCAGTTGATCAGGTGGTGGTGCGTATATAATGCCATAACCTTTCCCGTATCCCATATACATATATATACATATATATATATATATATATATACGCGTATATAATGCCATCTGGTCATGGTTCAATGTACATGAATGCAATGCATGAAAAGTACGTTAATAAAATCCTTCGGAATGTCATAAGACCATTTTGCCTTTGAGTGATATCATAAAGTAAACTCTTTTCTAATTTCATATTTTTCTGAGACCCATGAACAGATGATAAAAAATTATGACACATGGAAATTAAAGAACATAAATATCTCTAATACTTCTATGAATAGAGTCATTTATGGAATTTGTGCCTTTGCACATTTCATTTGTGTTGTATAGATCATGCCAAAAGAAAGAAGGGATAGCCTTAACATACCTGTTCCTTGAATTATTTGCACGAAATGAAGCTTCTGCTTTAATGAAAGAACGAAGCTTCTGCTTCTTTGAATTGAACAAAATTTTTGCTTAGGATTAGAATGTCTCCTTACATTTAAGTGTTAGCATATGTTTCTGAAGCTTTTTGCTTTAGAAGGAAAGATTGTGTAAAATTAAAATCAATAAAAACCAAGCTTTGTAATAAGGAAACCAAATTGGAAAAGTCTTATACGTAGGTGTCACTATGTACCTAACTTTAGGTGGCCACCTAAAACATTATGACTAAGAGTCATAAATCTTAGTAGTGGCTTGCTACCACGTCTTATTTCCACACTTCAATAATTAACTAGGTAATGTCCCGTTACTCGGTAATTAACCAATTTCCCGTATAATTAAGAATTATCTCCACTTACTTAAAATACTACTCTATTTTAACATACCTTGTACACTTTATGGTCATGTAGTACCTTGTATGACACTAGTCCATAAATACTGGGTATTTTAGCTCGGGCCGTATTTTACCCCAAAATGCCAAACTTGGACAAAATTTATTTTCTTTGACTTGCTCCACCTTTCAATTTCATGAATTTACTAATCACTTGTGAATAGCATAATCCTTATAATCTCCAAATAATCTTTTACTTGGACTGATGTCAATTACCTTACGACAAATTCAACGTAAAATACTTCATGGTGCAACATCGTCGTAACTTAATAGTGCGAAGCGTGACGTCACCGTAATGTAATACGGCTAGGTGCAACACCGTCGTAACTTAATACTGCGAAGCTTAACATCACCGTAATGTAATACTGCTGGGTGCAATACTGTCGTAACTTAATACTGCGAAGCTTAACATCACCGTAATGTAATACTGCTGGGTGCAATACTGTCGTAACTTAATACTGCAAAGCGTAACATCATCATAATGTAATACTGCAAGGCATAACATCATCGTAATATATTACTGTAGAGGGTAACATCATCGTAATATATTACTGCAGAGCATAACATCGACGTAATATTGCGGAGCGTAACATTATCCCCCCTTTGGAACATTCGTCCTCGAATGCTGACTGATGCACTTATCATTTTCTTAACTTATATCTTCCGAATACTTTAGAACCTCCCTTTCCATCTAGGCGACGAGTCTGTGAATAAGTCCAAAGTCCAAGGCACTCCCCTCTTAGGCCTCCTTCTCACACCATAACTTGTAGTCGAAATCCTTACAATCTCGTTACTGTTGCTACTTTTCATCATGCAGTCTGTACAATTTTGACCTTGTAAGTGTGCCCAATCTCTAGGATTCATATGTAGAGCTTGATAAGATGTCCCTTTGGGCATCTATGAGTATACTGAAGTTCTTCGCTTGGTACTTTGTTGAATTCACGAATATTTCTATATCTCATCGCATAGGTCCGTTTAGCCATCCGTATGAATTTATTGCCATAACTCTTTAATTTATTGTTGATGAGGTCTGCGACCAAATCCCAGCTTACTCTCATTGCTTATTCTATATGTATAAATTTAAGTCCTTTAATGCTTCCTCATTACTGCTTATTTTTAGAATGACGGCCTAATCTCATCTCATATTTTGTGACTTTTGTCCATCCATTGTTGATTCACCTCAATATTGATCTACAATATACCACTGATAACTTGAAACTTCTTACGTAATACTTTGCCCCTAGGGCTTACGTTACATCAAGGAATATTCGAAGTAATTTTCCTGATCCACTTAGTGGCGATACCGTACTTCAATAACCCTATTCTATAGCATCCCAAGGTGATTCTCTTACGTGAGTATTTTAATCCCATACAATTCATGAATCCTTTTTTTTCTCTTTTTTTTTTCAAATCATGACTCAATCGAAGGTCCAAACGTCATCCTTTATCTATCACAATTACGCCCTTATTCTACAATTATAGCAGCATTCCATCTCTTCTAAATACTACTTATGAAGGGTAACTCCTTTGAGTCCATTCAGGCTATACTGAGCTTACTATAACATAGAGAAGCCATTAGCTCCCTTGTTTTCATGGGCCTAATCCCGAGGACTTATCCATTCTCGTCACTTTCTCACTCGCCTTTTCACGTTCTTACATCATGTCATAAAACTTTGTCGCTTTACTATACTTTGGCTTGCGGCCTATACATATCTATTTATACTACTCGTAATCTTCCTTCAACTTGCTTGAATTTCCTTGTATTATTTTAGAACATCAAGCGAGACATCACATCGTCTCTATCTCTTCTTTACATTCTTAACTAGACCTCTCGATACCTAGAAATCATTGACTAGAACATATGCCACTGACGATGCCGAATATCATTCTTGGATATTGAATCCCCGCACTTCTAGCCTTCTATTTGAAGTATGAACTATTCACAACCTTCTGCATCTCGTACATCATTTACCTTTACCTTACGTACTTAAAGTTTCATATCACGTCTTTTATCTCCTTAATGGCCTTCCTTCCATATAGGTAGAATTCACATCCATAATTTAAAACTCTATTATAATATTTGCACCTCTGGTGCCTATACAATCCGATAGGAGTTCCATACTGAATTCTTATGAGGCTAGTATTTTCTAACCGGCTTTATCGTAGAGTCATTATAGAATATGGTTGTTGTGCTATATCTCTTGCACCTCAATATTATGAGTGATTCTGCTATGTTCTCAATCACTATGTCCATAATTTTCTGGGTTCAATAATCAAACTCCTAATTTACTTAGTTGATGTAACTCTTTAGTTTTCTCTTTCCTCTGGTCAACCTTTACGTAGGCTTAAGCTATCTTGCGATCTGCGGCTCATTGTATTAGTTATTACTTTTAGCCCTTCATGGCGCTATGGGATATGCATGATACAATCCTTTAACAACTTAATCCTTCATCTGTGACCTGGTCTCATTTCTTTCTTTTAACATATACCAGAATCTTCTATGGCTGTATATGTTGTATGTATAAAACTCTGAACCCCTACACGCGTTCATAATGTAACCAACTCCAGATCATTGATAGAATAATCCCTTTTTTTCATCTTAGCTTTCTTTAAACGTAAGCTATTATTTTTCCTGATTTTTCTGCCCCTTGTTGCATCCATACTTAGCTTATCTTAGTGCCCACATATTTGAAATTCCATCACTTCTGATTTTACTCCCTGTTCATTAGCCACTGTAGGTGCCACTTTCTTAGGAAGTTCATGCAATGTTGTTTTGAGACTAGTGTCACATGAGCATTTCCTCTTTAGGTCATTGTGCCGAGGTTGAAGCCTTCTTCCTTATTTTCTCAGCTAGTCTTTCGTCGTAGTACACAGGGAAGACCCTCTGACTCTTGTAAAGTTGTGAGCCTATTACATCGTATACTTGACGAAACTTCTGATGTCCTTCCTTGCCTATACTTATCCGTAGTTACTTATCTCCACGCCCTTGTTCTTGTAAGGTTGCTCCTGAACTGATATTTTGATTGCCTTCCCAGTGGCACTTTATTTTATCCCTGTAACACTCATACGGTACCTTTAACTACCCCGACTCCTATTTGAATATATCTCAAGTATTATAATGATATTACTGCCAGAGGCTGAATTCTCCATGTTGGAGTTTACTACATTTATCTTGCATGATCTGCTGATTTGTCTGTAACTTCATGTCTAGTCATGACTAGGCTCTTCCTGAATCAACTACTACTTACTCGTTAGCCTATTATTATATCCATATTCTGCGTAATCTTTCTTGGGTTATTTCCGTTTATTACTTACCTTATGTACTGGCTCCTTATTTATCAATAATATCCCGTGCAGGAACCCTTACCTCCCTTACAGTAATTCTTCTATACCAAGGATAACAAAATCCCTCGCTCGCGATGGTGACATTTAGCATAACTGGCACATACAATCTCTTAAGCTTAACTTGTTCACATTGCTTGGTTTAGGGAAGCGTCTCCCTGAATGACCATTCTCTAAATTCATCATGGATCTTCTTCTGTTGTCCATTCTATTATTGCCGGAATGCAATGTGAAATTCTCATGATGCTGACTATTATCAAATCACTCAGTTCCTTATTCATGTTTAGTTTATCTTATTCACCAGTCCATACTGATTTTTATTACTTTAGGGTCTAACTTTTCCTTCTGGTAGTCGCGTTGGAGTCATGAGCTCATTTATCGAAATGAGGATATAACTTTATGACCTATACTCATTTGTTGTCTCAAGGCCTGTCACCCCTCGTCCCTTCCTTCAACTGGCTATAGACT